AACTTGATGCTCACTTGTGCTTGTCACGATCAGGTCATCCACATAAACTCCGACTATTAAATCCTTGTTTGGTCTTTGTAGTTTGTAGACTGCGTACTCTTGAGGACTTCTCTGAAAACCTAGTCCCTTAAGATTTTTGTCAAGACTCATGTTCCAGGCTCTTGGAGCCTGTCGCAATCCATACAAGGCTTTGTTTAGACGATACACCATGTGTTCTTTACCTGCAACCACAAAACCATCAGGTTGTCTAACATACACCTCTTCCTGTAAGACCCCATTCAAGAATGTAGATTTTACATCCAGGTGGTGAACTTTCCATCCCTCCTTGGCTGCAAATGCCAACAACATGCGAACGGTTTCCAAACGTGCCACCGGAGCGAACACTTCATCAAAATCAACTCCCTTTCTTTGCACATAACCCTTCACGACGATTTTGGCTTTGTGTTTTGTAACATTTCATTCTGCATCCTTTTTCAACTTGAACACCCATTTTAACCCAATGGGTTTATGGCCTTTGGGTAAACAAGTCAATTTCCACGTATTATTCTTCTCAATTGATTCTAGTTCCTTCTTCATGGCAATTCTCCATTCATGATCACTTGAAGCTTCAAGATAGGTTGTAGGTTCCTCTCCTGCATACATTAATTCATCTTGATCTTCTTCTAATGGTTATGTTTCATCGTATATGTCTTGTAGTGAGAAAAAACCACGAACTGGAGTGTGATCATATGTTGAATGGTCATTGTTGTTTCCATCTGATCCCGTTGATGAGCTTCCTGTTTGAAATTGGGTAGAAGAAGGTAAGTCACCTGTATCATCCCCGGTTGGCATCGGACTTACCAGGGGTGATGAAGGAATATTTTCATCGATGTGGGGCGTAGGGTTCCAATCTTCTGTTCCATCGGTTTATATTGGTTCTTCCTCAATGATCAGCTCATCTTGGAACTTAATCCAAGCCGTCTTGTGGGTGGACTCTTCATCTTGGAGCCCAGCCCAATTCCACTTCGTTTTTTCATCAAAAATCACATCACGGGCCACAACTATCTTCTTTTGTTTAGGGTTAAACAAGCGAAAGGCTTTACTTATAAGTTCTGACCCAAGATATACCAATGCCACACTTCGATCACTTAGCTTTGTAAGATGGTTTACTTGTCTTTTAGCGTGTGCAACACACCCAAACACCATAACGTGTTCCAGTGTAGGTTTTGTTCCTTTTAAACCTTCATATGGAGTCATGTTCTTCACGCCTTTTGTTGGAACCCGGTTAAGAATATACACTGCATGGCGTACCGCCTCACCCCACAACACCTCTAGCACGTTCATGGTCTTCAATAGTGATCTCGTGACTTCAAGAATAGTCTGGTTGCGACGCTCTACAACCCCGTTTTGCTAAGGGGAATAGGGTGTTGTCAATTGTCTCTTGATACCTTCCTTACTACAGTAATAGTTGAACTCGTTAGAAGTGAATTCGCCTCCCCGATCTGTACGTAAGGTCTTTAGTTTGAAGTTACTTTCACTTTCAACTTGGGTCTTGAATTTCTTGAAGGCTGAGAATGCCTCATCTTTTGTCTTGATAATGAATAGCCACATGTACCTGCTGTAGTCGTCAACTATTTGGAGGAAATAGCGATTACATGTGATGGTGTGTGGTGTTATAGGACCACAAAGATCTACATGTACCAGTTCTAACGAGTAGTTTGCCCGCCACTGAGCTTCTTTTGGGAATGGATGTCTAATTTGCTTAGCTACTAAACAACCTTCGCACACTTGTGTGGGATGTTGTATCAGTGGAACACCTCGAACCATCCCTTTTCCAACCATGGATTCAATGGCTCGAAAATTCACATGCCCCAATCTCGCATGCCACAGCCAAGCAACATCATCTAGACTAGTATTTAGACATACAGGTTGTGTGGTGTGCAAAACAATTTTATACAAACGATTCTTTGAACATTGTACCTTCATAATCAGCCTATTGATGTTATCATGCACTCGTAAAAACTCATGTAGCATTTCAATCTTGTATCCTTCCTCAGTCATCTGCCCTAGGCTGAGAATGTTGCTTCGTAAGGCTGGAATGTAGTATACTTCTGCAATGACAAGCTGCTCTTTGTTTTTGCATTAGCAAAATAGTCCCTTTACCTTTGATCTGAACTTTGGATCTGTCTCCAAACCGTACTTGACCCGTTACACGTTCATCTAATTCAGCAAAGTAGCTTCTTACCCCTGTCATGTGATTGCTGGCCCCATTGTCTAGGTACCAAGTATCTTCTTCATTCCCTTGAGTAGCTGGGAATACCTTGTCTTCATTCAGCAATATCACCTCCTCTGTTTTCTCTCTATATACAGTTAAGAGTAGAGTCGACTCTTCTTTCTAGGCGTCAGTGAGATTCACGTCAGCCTCCTTACGTTTTGGATGTGGTCACTCAGAAGCATAGTTCCCAAATGTTTCACGGTTAAAGCACTTTATGTGTTTTTTATCTCTACTCTTCCATTTGTTGTTGTTATTATCACGAGAAGGTTGATTGGTTCCACGACCACCTCTTCCTCGAGTGCTTGCCCTTCCACGACTACTACTTTGACCTCCTCTCTCATGGTGAGACGATCCCCGTCCTCTTCCAGCTACAGTGGAGTTTGACCCTAACGACTTTTGACTGTTTTGCCCTTCAGATCGAGTGAGTAATAGACTTGCATCACCGCTTGAGTTCTCACTTCGAAATCTTAGTCGATCCTCGTAAGTTTTGAGTCTTCTAATTGCCTCTTCAAATGGCATTGTATCCAGGTCTGAATACTGTTCGATTGATACCACCAGTTAAAGATACTTCTCCGGGACTGAATCGAGTAGTTTCCTTACGAGCGTTCTGTCTTCAAGTGTGGCCCCGATGCTGCTGTATTTTGAGTGCATTCCACTTAGCTTCCCCGCAAACTCATCTATGGACTCTCCGTCTTTCATCCGAAGGGCATCGAATTCACTCTTGAGTGTATGCAACCTTGCTTTCTGGACTCGATCAGCACCAAGATACCGTGTTTTGAGAGACTCCCAAACATCTTTTGCTATTTTCTTTTGTACAACCTGTAAGAGAACATCTTCTGGTATCGCCTGGAAGATGTATGCACGTGCCATCTTGTTCTTCTTTTTATCTACAGTCACTCCAACTGCAGATTCAATGGATTCCCATACGCCCTGAGCATCCATGATCGCCTCCATCTTTATAGCCTATGTGATGTAATTGGTTGAAGTTAGCACCGGGCACTGGAACGATATTCCACCGTCTTTTGTGTTTTGCTGGCTGGAACCTAACATGTCTTTGTAACGGATATATTTTGGCATGAACTAGAAGTAGCTTTGATACCAAGTGTTGGAACAACCTGTTCAGATCAGTTCAAGAACATGCCCTGTCATAGTTAAGCTATATAGATGGAGAGATAGAGAATGTTTCACTCTTATTTCATATGTATAAAAAAAAGGGCTACAGCTAGTGCTATTTAAACACAACAAGAAATATAGTTATTAGGGGCGACGTCATTAGAGACGACAGGTAGTATTAGGGACGACATGTGACAAGACGCGGTTTGTCGTCGCTAAAAGCTTGACGTCGTCGCTAAAGGGTCGCCTCTGATAGTCCACGTCGGCGATCCGTGTGACTTCGCCCAGAGTGAATCGTAGCCGTTCGTTTTTTATATGATCCAACGGGCTGGATTTCTCCGTACCAGGGCAATAGCGGCGACGGTAATAGAGACGATGTTGTCGTCGCTACTAGTGACCAAAAAAGACGCGGGATATCTTCCCTCCAACGTGTCGCCCCAATTAGTGCCTTGTCGCCACAAATAGCGTCGCCGCTAAAGGGTACGACCACTTTACCTCCCCATCGTCTCTCAGAACAGGTTACAGCTTCACTCCAAAAATCTCTTACACGATTTCCGGCGATTTTCCGGCCAAAAACACCCCGATCCTCTCGATTTGATCGGCGACCATCACCACAAACCCTATCATTTCTCCTTTCCTCTTCACTCCTCATCTCCCCCCTCATTTGGCCGGCGCTGTGATACATTTTCCGGCGACAAACTCCAATTTTTCGGCATCTGCAGCAAGGGTAGGTGTTCCCTTCCTTCATTTCTCTTACAATTTCTTTTCTAGAACGAATTTGTGTGTTAATTTTGGATTTTCGTGGTTTCACAGCAACATCTCCGGTGACACCACCTCTTCTTCGGTGATACCACATTTACTCCGGCGACCTCGACCACAGCACCACCACCTAAACGATTTCCAGGTTTTTTTTTCTGTTTTTAATGTAGGTATAAGAAATGTTGGTATTTGTATGTAAAATATATATGTATATATGTATTTGTATATGAAATGTATGACTATGTATGAAAAATTGTGTGTATAAGAGTATTTGCATGTGAAATATAAATGTATATGTGCATTTGTTTATGAAATTTATGTGTATGTATGAAAAAATATGTGTATAAGAGTATTTGTATGTGAAATGTATGTATATGTGAAAAATCTATGTATATGGGTGTGAATATATGAAAAAATCTATGATAAAATGTATGTATGTATATGAAATGTATGTATTTGTATGTGAAATGTACATGTATATGTATGAAAAAATGTATGTATATTTTTGTATATGTATGTAAAAATGTATATGTATGTATATGCGTGGATATGTATGTAAAAATGTATGCATTTGTTTGTATATGTATGTAAAAATGTATGTATATGTTTGTATATGTATGTAAAAATGTATGTATATGTTTGTAAAAATGTTTATGTTTTTTTGACGTTATAATGTGAAATGTATATGATTGTATAATTGGAAAAAAAAATTAGAAAAATATGAAATTGTACACCTAGTGTTATAATTTTTCATATTATGTTATATATATATATATATATATATATATATATATATATATATATATATATATATATATATATAGTGTTATAATTTTTCAGGATGTTATTTTTTTGGGTTGCATACGTTCATTTCATGGCTGTTGTGATGGGTCATGGAGGTGATGGTGGTGACGAGCCACCACATCCGTTCGGTGGAGATTTTGGTGTTCACCAGATTGATGGTAATTAATATTTATTCTAATTCATTGTATTTCATATTGTATGTATATAAAAAACTATCTTTACTAATATTTTTTTGCAGCTATACCTCCCAGACGAAGAGGTATGGCAGTAAACAAGAAAATGCATCGGCTATATGAAGCAAACGGCAGACAACCTCTAAAAATAATATTTGACAGAAATACTTTTGTACCGATTGGGGATGTATATGAATGTTTTATTCGGGAGGTTGGAAGTTATATCTGGCGTGACATAGCTTCAGATAAGAACACCTGGAAAGAAGTTCCTGAAGCCGATCGGAATGGCATGTTTACATATCTTTCGGTAAATTATTTATTATTTATAAAGTTATATTTAACATTTTAATTTTGATTTATTTTTAACTTCTTATTTTTTGTAGACATATTTTGATTTTCAAGCCATTTCAAATGATCCCGATGCTAGAATTTTATGGGCATCATTGAACCATCGGATATGTCAGCGGTATAGAGGCCGCAAAAATATTGCAAAAAGTAAATTTATAGATATGCTAGAGGGTGCGGAGGCAGCAAGGGCTCGACCCCCCGTGGGTATGGATTCAGCGCGTTGGAGTGCTACTATTGACCACTTCTTAACTGATACACATTGTAAACGATCCAGTGTAAACAAAGAATGCCGGAAGAAGCAAGTAGTTAAGAATCGTGGAGGGACGTGCAGCTACGGTAGTGCTTCTTTCAAAAATGTAAGTTACATTAATGTTTATTCAGTTATAACATATTTTGTAATGTTTATTTAAGTATAACATATTTTTTAATGTTAAATAGAATTTGAATAAACTTGAAGTATTTCACCGTGCACATGTCAATAAACAAGGGGAATTCGTTGACCCGTTAGTTGAAGAACAATATGTAAGTTATTATTACTTAAAAATGAAGTAGAATGTTGTTTTTTTGTGTTTGTTTTGAAGTATATTAACAATCTTCGTGAAATGCAGAATGCTTTAGTTGCTGAGGTTGCTTTACAAACTCAGCACATAGCCGACTCCGGTGGTGATCCGAACTCCATTGATTGGATAGCCTTATTTGAGAAGGTGTTAGGTGCTTGAAGGGGACATGTGAGAGGCATCGGGCCTAAGCCTTCCATAGCGGGTACAAGTGCTCCCACTCAGTGGCAGTCACAGTCACAGACACCGCAACCAACACAGGTACTTATTAATTTGTTGTAAATTTTGTTGTTTGATAGTTTGGTAGTTTGTTAGTTTGTTAAATTGTTAAGGACTTAATGTGTTTGTGACTTAATTGTTAAGTAATAATAATTTGTTTTTATAGTATGATATATTTTAACTTATATTCTTACTTTGTAGGATGTGGATGTTAACGCTTTTCTCCAAAACCCGGCGTTTGTGACGGCAATTGGAGATATTATCCGGTCATTTAGCAAGCAAGTCGACAATGCGACCAATAACGACGAGGAAAACGATGATGGGGACGACGATTAACATATATTACTTTATGTTATGGATGATGTTATTATGGACTTAGATGATGTTAATGTGATATATTTTATGTAATGTTATTTGATGTTTTATGTAATGCATATTTTTAAATTATAAGTTTTATAATTTTATAAATTTTGTATTTTTATAATATAAACTAATATAAAATATAAATTTTATCTAAAAAACAAGCATTAGTGGCAACACCTTTAGGGACGATCTTAAGCATTAGCGACGACACACCCCGCCGGAATATTTAGCCGGAGTAACACTGACCGGTAGCCGGAATATTATAGGGACGACACCTTTTGAGACGACGCCTGCTATTAGCGACGACATGTATTAGGGACGACACTTTTAGGGACGACATATGAGTATTAGCTACGAGGTATTTGCGGCGACCCAATTGAGACGACATGTCGTCCCTAATACCTTTAGGGGCGACAACCTTGACTATTTGCGACGCATTTTGTCGTCCCTAAAGGTGCCTTTTCTTGTTGTGAAAGCTAAAGAAATAACAAAATAAAGCTAGCTAGAAATCAACTACACCATGTGCTCCTATCTATGCGGCAACTAAGCCACGTTATTCACCTACAAATTAACTAGGTCAAATAGAATTAATTAGCTTCCAACAGAGTCACCCATGGTTATATTCCTGATTTCACTGTCAAAGTTGAAAAGCTTTGGAATCCTTATTATCTCTGAATAGTTTTTCCAGGTTCATCCAAACGACATGAGCGGAAGCCTTAAGATTTGAGGATCGTATTTAGAAGGTTCTAAGAGAACGTACCATGCATATAGCCAAGACTTGACAACATTGTCAATCATGTTCCATTCAGCATCAGATAACTCAGGCGGTGTTTTGGTAGGAGATTTCAAATGAGTGTTGACTCCATAACCAGCACAAATGAGTGGAGAAAAGTTCCCGCCATGCATCATACTTATGGCGATCCAGATCGAGAATGAGAGGAACGGAGGCTCGGATATCAGTGTTTCCATAAGGTTTATCAGTGGCCATTGAAGAAAGAAGAAGAATAAGAACAGGGGGCGTAGGGATGAAGAGCCGTGAGGAAGAAGGGAAGGATTAGGGCAGAGGCCTGATACCATATTACAAGGGATATTTTCCCAATTGGATTTAATTCTCATTAACATGCCAAATAAATACACGTACAACATAAGAAAAATACATAAAGGCCTTGGGCCAACAATGAGCTATTCTAAATACAAGAATACAATATAAAGTATATACTAACAGATTTTGCATGTACATATTTTCGGGATTAATCAAAACGTATTTTCAAACGAAAGAACCATATTAAGAAATACACTGTTCTTTTTTTAAAAAGTGAGTTGTATGCTATTGTGAATTTTAAGGTGGCTAAGATTGAGTGTGTGGTTGATATTTGCAAGATGAAATTGTTGGAATATGGTCTAAGTTTTGGTGCTACAATATCCTCAACCAAGTGTTAACTTTTAAATCGACACGCATAATAATAAAATACGATAAAAATAAGCAACACATGATTTACGTGTTTCATACGATTATGGTTTTCATATTACGTCCACACACGAACCAAAGAGAGTTTCTATTGATTTCATGATAAGATCTACAAGTACATCAAGATCTGTATATAGAGATGTGGTTTCTGATCAAGACCCCATTGCTTGGTCGCATAAGCAGGCAACCGGTCACCACAACTCAATACCAAACATCATGACAAGCATTATACATTAATGTTGGAAATGTTTGATATCAACTATATTTAATTTAATATAATAATATCATTTCATAGTTAATGACAACTTAGTTTACTATAAGAAGTTATGCACTTGTGATATTGTGTGTTTCCTTTTGTTTCAAGCCATTTGGCCATCTTGATCATTGTGATCTCGCTGCCCTACTAACTTGGGAAGGAAAACTCTATCCAAGAGCTAGTAAAAATCAAATTCATAGGCTAAGGCTTAATGTTGCATGTCGCCTTCCATCAAAAAAACCAAGTTCATCACCAACTAAAAAAGTAACCAAATATGTCCCTTAATAAATGATGGAAACGGACATGCAACATTTAGTATATCAATTTCTCCTGTCATCAAATCAGAATCCATATTTTCGACCTTTGAGGGTGAAAGCAAGTATAGTTTATTCCGGTGATAAAAATATTATTCAGTCGGAGCTCCACATCGGCTAGACACGGTTTCATCCACCTCTATGATATTTGGAGTTTACCCTCGCTTCTCAATAGCTCTTATGGAAAGAAAATTTAGAATTCACATATCCTCTACAAATCTAACATCATATCAACCGGTTTGAGCCTCATATCAGCTAGACATAGTATCATCCATATCTATATATGTTGGAATCAACCCTCTTGCCTCAAGAACTAATTCAAAGACTCGACATATCCTATACCAATCTAACATAATCTTTGTGTATGTTGCTACTCATCTGACTGTTATGGATCAGGTTGGACTGCAACTCTTGAATCTGGTGGTTGGAAAATGATATAAGAGGTCAAAGGCTAAACATCTGTTGTGTGGGTCGTTTTAATTTCAATATATTTGTGGCCTCTCAAATGATGTTTATGAGGCAGGTATGAGTCAGGTTAGAGGATGTTGGAAGAATAACTTTTTTGCAGAATATATAGCATGCCAGTAGACAAATCGAACTAGTTACTAGTATTGATGTTATGATTTGTGGCATGGCTTGGTGTTGAGAAGGTTGGCATTTTGATTCAAAACACAGACGTCTCCTTTGCAAATGAATTTGGAGGGTGAAGCTGAGGAGGTGTGTGAGAAGCAGCTGAAGAATTTGGACAAAAAGGAGGCCATGTTGTGTTTATGATGGTGTAGAGACACATTAATTTATAGGGAGAAAAACACACGCATATTACTCGGCCGAATCCGTGTTGTGGTGTCAGGACTCTGTCATCTATTATCTATTAATGAATTGAACAAATAAACAAGCGTGTGTGAAAAATCAAACAGTTATTGACTGTTTCTTGCATGCCGACTTTACGGTTCAACTAACCCTAATTTACTTTTTATAAGTGGAGCTCCTAAAATGAGTGGGTCGGATGGTGGGTAAGGAGTTCGGGTCAAAAAAGTCTGGATTTGGGCTAATTCAATCACATGAAGAATGTAACGTACACTTTCTTTCTTCTGTTTTCAACTTTTTGTAAATGAATTGTATTGAATGCTATTTCAAGAACTGATTATAATAGTTACAGTTTAGTTTTTTAAAGCAAACAAGATAAAAGGTTATGTTTGACTGTTTATTAAAACAGTTTAAGAAATTATATTCATTAAATATACTCTTTAAATGATTGAAATTCCAATCTCTGCTCTTAATTAACAAACACGTGCAACAAGTGTGTTCAACATGTTTTTAGTGTTCAATTCGTTTAACATGTAAAGGCTAAAACTTAGTTATGGGTGAAAAGTTATTATGTACAACTTTTTGAATTATTAAAAATTTATAACTTAATAACAGTAATTTTTTACATGATATTCAACATATTATTCATCTATGAAATGAACCAAAGTTCGAAAATGGTGTTATGTACAAATATAAATCAAATTCTTTACATTCTAAATCATATCAATTAAAATTATTAGATGTCTATTTCAAATGGAACATTTTTTTAGTTTACACATTAGTTTTAGACAAAAGAAAATGGCATTTAATAAACACTAGGGTTTTTTTTTTTAAATGAAGTTGTGTATGAAAGAAATGGTTAAATAGGTAACGATGTATATCCACCTAAAGTGCTATGCTATATACATAAGTCATAAGATATGTTTTTTTTACTAGATTGTCATTTTATTCTTACATCTAGAAAAACAATTTTCAAAATATTCATCAATTTTGATGGATATCTATCAACTTTAACTCAGAGAAGAGTTTGGAAGAAAAAAAAAAAGAAGAATGACACATAACCACCAGCGGTAGCCACTAGCTTGCCACCACACACCCGGCACCACCGCCACCACCAGCCAGGCACCAAAACACAGTGAAATAACACAACTCTAGAAAAGATATTAATCATTCATTAACACTAAGCAAACACCATTCATTCACATTACCATCAACTAATTCCAACTTCCAACATAAAAAGTAAAAACATTTCAAATTGCCAAATCAAGGAAAAAGCAAAGAGAAGACATAGGCCTGAACCTAATAGAAAAGTATCCAAATAACCATAATAGAGTAAGAATGTACATATTCATGTTGCCCAAATCACCATATTCACATCACATCAATCATCAACCTTTTTCCATTAGCATGCACTTCAAAACAATCCAAACGTATTCTCCCCACTGTACGTCATGTACAAAAACCCATCCTCATCTTTGTTTTCTTCATATATTGCAGACATCATAGCAGCTATAAACAAAGTTGCAAATAAAACATGAGCAAAATATACAAATAATCAAAAACACACAAGATCTTGAATATTAAAAAAGGTTTGAAACTTATTCTTACCAGTAGGTGGCAGAACATTCTTGACAAAGATAAAAATGGCCTTTTCAGCACTGAGCTTAATACGCTTTCTGACCACATAAACAAACTGGCCTACAGTCAGATCAGCAGGTACCAGATACCTACATCCATTAATCAAGTTTGATCAATCAGTATACTGCATAACAAGTTGTACTGCATTTGGTGCGAATCAAACTGATATCAATGAGACAAAAATCGCAACTTTATTGGTCCACTAAAAAAGTGGAACATGACATGACATAAATCAGATTGATATCAATGAGACCAACACATGACATGACAATAGATAACATAACAAAACAAGTTGTACTACACTTGACATGAATTAGAATGGGATTGAGACTGATATCAATCAGACTAAAATTGCAATTTTTTGGTCCAACAAAAAAAATAGATCATGACATAACAAGTTGTTATGCGTTTGGCATGATTGAGACTGAAGTCAATTTTTGGCACCAAAAAGTGGAACATGATAGTTGCATGACAAGATTAAATTCAAGGGACTAACTTTTTCTTGTCAATGTCGGGTATGTCAGTTCTTTCAGCCTTTTCCACAATAACCTGTAAAAACAGAAGATAAATAACACAAATATTTAATGTATTTTAGCATATGATGAAAAAATTTAGTACCGGAATTCTGTCAGGATATTTTTCTCTGATACGAGCAGCTTCAGCTTGTCGCCTCTCTACAAAATACATATAAAGAACCACAAAAAAACTGTTAAAACTTCATAAAGCTTTAGAGATTGTATTTTCAGTCACTAATTACAACTTATTTTCATCAAAATATATGAATGGGTCCAACTTTGTTATGTTTTATCTATAAAAGGTTAAGTGAAAGAAGTTGCTAAAAAGGAAATGGGTCAAAAGCTACCAGAAAGTGTATGATAATGCATATAACCTCCTACATTTATTATTTTGAGCTGTTATTGTATAAATATTTATATAGTTTTAGTTTCTGTAATTACATTTATTACACTAAATATTTATAAAAGATTAATGTAATTAAAGATAACAGGACTCAAAGATGCATCCACAATTATAAACAAAAACAATTAATTTTGGCCTAAGCAAACCATACTTAAGAATTCCTCAAAAATATCACAAATGCCTACAGCTTGCATCAAATACAGATAAACATGTAATTAATGAAGAACAAAGTAGAACCAAAAGATCCTAATTAGTGCATCAAAATCAATCAAGAACACAAACAATCAAACATCCTTCGCAAATTATTCTAGCATTAATCAAATCAAGATGCACACAGATTACTATGAAAACCGTTAAATCTTCACAAAAACCTTAAGAGGTTATACTATCAGCAAGGCAGAAATTGATTACAATTTGTTTTCACCTTCGACCTCTAATTCATAGAGTAGCTCAAAACCTTCATTGATACAGATACGAACGAAAATCTTACACAGTTATAAAGATTAATGTAATTAAAGAACATTCCTTAAAAGGTTACTGCATTATAAAAAAGAACAATCATTTTTTGTCTACGTAAACCCTAGGCAACAATTTGCACCAAATAAAGGAAGAACAAGAAACCCCATAATTAATCAACATTATCGCAGAAAACGATCCTAATTAGTTCGATCAACTGATCAAGAACGCAGACAATCAAGCATCCGTAAATGGAAGCACGTATAGGGTTAATCAAAACAAGATCGAAAGTAAAAAGAAAAGAGGTAAGAAAGAGAACCCAGAGGATGCTCTAGTTTGAAGGAGCTTTTGGCCATTGTGATCAAGAGGATGCTATCAACTGAAAAACGAACACCGATGGGTAGATCAGATTAGGGTTCTATTAAATTACACAATTATAGAAAACGATCGAGTTGAAAGATCAGAAAAGATGGGAAATTTACCGAGTGAAACAACTTGGGTATTACGACCCGGAAAGAAAGATTTCTGAAATCGACAGGAAATTGCAGGTGACGTCTTGGTCTCTTATTAATTGACTTATAGTTTTCTACGTTTCTTGATTAGGGTAAACGAATAATTCGGGTGGCTTGATTTTGAGTTAGGCACGGCCTAGATCGGACGGTTTTACTGATCCAATATTGGGCTCACTAAAAACTGGTTTTTATAGGACGGGTCTTGGCTGAGTGGAACCATTTTGAATAATGAATTTTTTAATATGACATAAAAACTATTAATTATAGAAAATATTATCATAATTAAATATAAAATGCATTAATTATGAAGAATATTTTTTATAATTAATGATTTCACATTTAGTTAGGATAATATTCTCCATAATATATTTTTTATGTGTGTCTTTAGGGCATATATTAGAAAAAAAAATTTGAAGAAAATCCTATTTTTGTTCTTATTTATGAACATATCTACTCTAATAAATAAAAGTTTTTTTTTGTTATATGTCACACTTATTCAATTTGTCAAATGTTATTTATGGTTATTTTGAATTAATTTATTTTCCACATGTCATTTTACGGATTTTTCTATTTTAATAAATTTCAGATAATACTTTAATATAATAATTACAATAAATGTAGTAATAAATGAATATCAATTTCATTAATGGACTTACCTTCTTATTTCAAAATTCTCAAATTAAAGCTCATTAGTTTATTTTGTTTATTTATTTAAATTTAAAAGATAAAAAAAATCAATTTTAATAATTCATTATTTTTCTTATTTTCTTATAAATCCAAATTTCTTAAATATTTAGACATTTATATTTAATTTTTTTAATAACCCTTGTAATACATGGGTCTTACACCTAGTATGAAATAATAACATGTATCAACTTGGTTGCTTCATATATTTCCAAATGAGAAAATCATAGCTTTGCATGGTATTAGAGTCTTCTTATATTTACTTTAAATCTCGTTGTCATCATTCCTTCCGGCCCATGACCTCCTTACCCTAATTCTTCTTTTCTTCCAATCTTCGTGATGGCTGCCAATACCAACAAACCCTACAGTATCACAAATATTCGTGTTTTTGTTCTCTTGCTCATGGATTTGGATCGTCTCAAAAATGATGCATGTGTGAGAGTTATTCTACACAAACTTTGTAGGTTATGTAGGTTTTAGGTTATGTAGGTTGCAGTGTTACTATATATTTAGAAACCTCCACAAAAACCTTGATAGACATAAATGATCAAGAGTGGAATCGTCTAGATTCCCTTGTCAAATCCTAGATATATGGCACCCTTTCTCAAAACCTACTTCAAATGATTCTAAAGCATACGTCACGACTTATAACATTTGGAACAATCTTAAAAAGTTGTTGCGCAACAATAAGGATGCTAAAGCTATTCAACTTGATAGTGGGTTAAGAACCATCACCATTGGGAATTCCACCGTTACGGAGTATTGCACTTGCATCAAAACCATCGTCAACCTATTGGAGAACATCGATTCCTCTATACATGAGAAGAATTTAGTTATTTATACCATAAACGAATTGTCTTCTAAATACGACCACATCGCTAGCCTTACTTTTCCGAATTTCCTCGAGAGCTGCTCCATGCTCTTTTTAGAAGAGCAACGTATGAATTAAGTGAGAACTATACAACCATCATATTCCGACCATTCTTCTTCTCCTATTTTGCTAATGATAGATTTTAGTCAAAATTGTGGTTCCGGTCAAAGTCACGGCAAAACAGGCTCATCCTCTATCCATGATGGATCATCTATACATGTTACTAAAACAAGCTCCCATCTATCTCTAGTCTCAACCCTATCGAACTTCACATCTTCATAATGTTTTAATTACTCCTCATATCATCAAAAACCTTGTTTATGTTCTTAAGTGCAATATAAAAACTAAATTTTCTATTAAGTTTAAGGCCTTTGGTTTTTCTATGAAAGACTTTCAGACAAATAAAGTGCTTCTCTATTGTGATAGCTTGGATGACTTCTACCCACTCATTGCTTCATCTTCTCAAGTCTTTGTAGTTGTCAATTCGTCTGTTTGGCATCTATGCCTTTATCACCTAGTTACAACAACAATATCTTTAAACATTTGGTTTTTACTCGTGTTATCAAGTGTAATAAATACAAGTCCAACATTCTTTTTCTTGTATGACAAGCGGGAAAACATGTGCGACTTACGTTTAGTATTTCCATTTATATTGTATCTTTCATTTTGATGTCGTACATTCGGATGTTTGCACATCCCCTTTATCTAGTCATAGTGGTTGGAAATATCATGTCATATTTTTAGATCATTTTCACATCATGCTTCGGTATATCCATTAAAACAAAAATACAACGTATTTTCCGAATTTATTCATTTCCACAATTATATTAAAAACCTATTTATTCGAGACGTCAAGTTCTTTCTAATTTGAAATTGATGGGGGAATTTGACAACCATGCATTTTCACAACCTATGTGGTTTAAATGGCATCTCTATTCGTATCTCATGTCCCCACACATCCAAACAAAATGGTAAATTTGAGCGGATGTTACGAACCATAAAAAATACCTTCTGCGCCCTTTTATTTAGCTTTTATCTAAAAAAAACTTTGAATCTAAATGCTACTTCAATAGCTTTCGGGGCCTTTTAGTTTTTAACTTATTTACATATTTAAAAGTTAACAACTACTTTTATGAAACACTTCTGCATAAATACAACAGCTCTCGGCTTCTAGCTTCCCACTACTCGCTACCAACTAGTTTTTTCAAACATGTCGTAAGACTGGTTTAATATATTTTTGGACTTTCAAGCGTCATTTTTGTAGTGTTAATTTTGAAAACAATCTCGTCAAATGAAATCATGGTTGTTTAAGATCCACTAAAGACATGTAATTGTCAACACTAGCAACATGCATGATAACAATTTTTAATTTGATGATCTTTTTAAGTTGATTGTTGGCATTCTCTTGCATCAATAAAAAATCAAGAAACAAAGTTAGATACCATTGAAGCTTTTCAAAAGTTAAGTATTATTTCAAGAAATGCTCTTACTTCACGGACAAATATTTTTTAATTATTTAAACGGTTACCATTTAACGATATTTACACGGTAAACAAATCATTGACAAATAAAGGAAATAACATAAAGAATAGCTACCAAAAGGTCTTTGGTCTATCGGTATCAGAAGTTGACAGATATGTTTCCATCAGTCAAATATCGAGGGTTTTACTCCCGTTGTGGACAAAATATGTAGATTTAGAAGTAAAGTGGTGTGTGCATGTGTAATTCGTTCTAAAATAAAGAATAACTTGGTGACTTGTTAAATACCATTTCATGGAAAGTTTATACATATGTAATAACTTTATAAGAAAAAAAATCAAGAGTCAAGAATATAACATACTTAATCTCATAGTATTGAACTGAAACTAGAGTGGAGATTATTTGGTTTAAACCAAAGAAACCAAAAACCTAATCAAACCGAATCGAATTCGAACCAAATCAAATTTCAAATTCGATGTTTGGTTTGGTTTATGACTACACTAAATTATGAATTTGGTTTATAGTTCGAATTATGTCCGATGGAGTTTGGACCAAATCAAACTAAATTACCGAATTCAATTACTTAATTTTTTTATTAGTTAGATATCATATTTTTTATACTTTAAAAATTAAATAGAAAAACTGAAAACATATTATGATATTTCATATTCCATGGACAAGTCGACTTCAAATTCTAAATCCCAAAACTTTCATCATTTAACCCTTTGTTCTCATGTACTTGTATGTTTAGGTGGACTTTATAGTTGAAAATTTAGATTTTATGTTTGGAAAATTTAAACTTTGGATTTTATTTTTAACCTTAAAATTTGATTTCATTAGTTCTCAAACCAAACCAAGCCGAATTGTAATTTGGTTTTCGGTTTGGTCTTGGTTGCTATGAATTTGGTTTGTTTTGGTTTTTTGCCACACAAATTTTCAAACAAAAGAAACCAAACCAAAGAAACATAAAAAATCATAAACCAAACTATTTCTCATGCCTACCTAAAACAAATTTACGAAACTTGTCTACACTCGAGAAAGTTATATAGTCTCATATGTATATTTAAACATAACAATTTTTTTTATATCAGCTTTGAGGAAATAGGTTTAAGGGCATACTTGATTGTGACGTAATTTTTAGTTTTGGGGAAAAAAATACCCTTTCTGAAAATATGGCATTTTTAGTGTTTGACATGAAAATCTTTTGCGTATTTTGAAGAAAAAAACAGGCTTCACGATCATGATAAATAGATGGTGGACCATTTGTATTCCTTCACAGAGAATTCACGAAACAATAATGTTAAAGCTTTAAACGATTTGACTTAAATCACTTCCCATATTTAATGAATTTCGTGTTCATAAACGAAATCACTTGTGTCAAATACGTTAACTCATGAATTCACGAGACTTCCTCACGAATATGGCGATCATTTTGTGATAGAATTGTAAAAGATGGTTGTCTTCTAAGTTCTAACATTACATAATTAATTGAATTCGAACCCGTATTGAATTACTCGCATTACAAAATATGTTTCTCATGTCACAAAGCTTTCCACCCAATAAAATCCAAACAACAAAATCTTTTTTATTGCTCAAAAATTGTACTTTGGTTTTCGGTTTGGTCTTGGTTGCTATTAATTTGGTTTGTTTCGGTTTTTTACGGCACAAATTTTCAAACAAAAGAAACCAAACCAAAGAAACATAAAAAATCATAAACCGAACTATTTCTCACCCCTACCTAGAGGTGGCAAAAATTGACACGATACGAAACCCGACACGAACTCGACACGAAATAAGAGGGTTTGGGTAAGATATTTCAACCCGTTTAAATTAACGGAGTGAAACGACACAACACAAAAATTAAACGGGTAAGGTTAGGGTTGAGAATTCAAACTCGAATATGACTCGAAAATGACACGTTTATGTATATGCAAGATTTTTGAATTCTTTAAATAAACTAGAAATATACAAAACCAAAACCATAAGTAAAAAAAAACCATTAGATTCAGTCGTTTCGTAATGTTGAAATGATTTAGCTGTCTAGATGTCACACCCCCAAACCGGAACGGCGGAAACGTTCGGGGGTGGATGACGTCATGTGTAGTATCACAACAATTGTATCATAGCAATCATAGTAAACACAACCATTACATTGAATACATATATGGAAAGGGTTTACATCTGTTTGATTCTTGTTTTTATACATCAAAAGTATAATCAAAAATAGAAAGACGTGACTTTATACGCTCCGTCTTCTCAAAACTCCAAGAGGTACCTGTCTACTGATTTCCTGAGAATACAAGCAGTTTTGAAAGGGTATCAGCATAAAGCTTGTGAGTTCATAAGCGATGTTTTGTAATGAAAACATGTTGATGACTTTGTAAAAATGTTCGCATGTTTCCAAGAAAATCCAATATTTTCTTTAGTAAAAGTGAGATAATATCATTTACATCTATAACCACTTAGTTCATGCTAGCCACGTATAAACCAATATCGAACAGACAGTTGGTTATATGGATCTGCCCTAAGCCCACAACCAAACAAGGAACAGGAAATGAGGCAGAAACCACATATCTCACAGTCTATCAAGTATTCTTCATATGTAACCCTGATGCATAGACTAAAGAGTTATAGAACTAACTATGAATGTTTGTTATTGTATCCGGTTGTAGTATATAAAACATATTAGTTTGTATGCTTGGTTACTACTAGATGTATTGTATGATGAATTCTGTATGAAAACCTCTGTGTAAAATGTTCTGTTTAAAAAAACTTTGGCTATCGCTGGTACATATAGTAAGTTATGTTTGAAAAACTCTGGTTACCACCAATAGGTATAGTAGTTTTATTATTTAAATAAAACCGTGTATTGTATCTCTGAAATCCCCCAATGTAATGTATAATAGTTCTATTAATTAAAATAAAACTGATGAAGAATGAAATCTCGTAAACAACGGTTAGTTTATACTTATTGTGAGTCGTATAACCATGTTTGATATGACCTAGTGACCTTTACGACGTTCTTCAAGTGTCGCTTAAATGACATTTGTCACCTCAGGCATGCCTGCCTAACTGTGGCTAGCAGTTCAGGTGTGGTATTGTCAGTCCCGAATAGATCTATTCACAAATCTCACGCTCTCCCTCCAGGAGACTCTGGTTATACTATGATAGGATTTAATTCAGTACACCTAAGGGTACAATTTTGAAGTAGAGTCTCACAATTCTGTATAATCTGGTTTACGTGTAATTCTGTATTGTTCTCTTGTGAATCCGCTGAATACTGTATATGGTAATAATTATACTTAAATAATTATTAAATATTGTACTCCTATAGTAATGTATATCATAAACCAAATTTGTCATAGTTTATATGTAACGCCCCGTTCCTGGTACGTATTTAATTTGATTAAATGGTTCTTTTTGTAAGAGCTACTCGGCGAGTTGTAGCCCTAACTCGCCGAGTAGATGTCGAATTGGACGCGGGCTTTAAGTGATCTACTCGGCGAGTCCACTCCTGGACTCGGCGAGTAGGCCAGTCAGGAGCAAGCCCTAATCCTTAGGGTTTGCA